AATAAATGTTTTCATCTTTAACTTTGACTAATTCCGATTCCTTTAACTCTATCCACATTCTCCGCTCCTCACTCTTCGACGCTGCCCTGCTCAATTGATCAGTTAGGTTAGAATTTGTGACCCGAGTTTGAGTTAAGCTACTATCTAGATGAGATATTCTTGTATTGACATTTTTTAGTTCTTTCTCATAAGAGGATGATGGTACTTTACATGAAATAAAAACAGATTGTACCTTCTTTATCAGTTCATCAAGCTCATTGAACTGCTGGCTGAGTGGTTTGGCTGTGAAGCACATGTCCTCCTTTGCATTCTGTCCATCATTGCCTCCATCGGTGTTGTATCCCCTCAATTGAGATACGTCAGAAACCATAAGGCATTTACCACCACTGCCTTTTTCCTTAGATACGAACGCCTTTCCATGAGTAGGCTGCCTCACTTCCTCATCTTCTGAGTCGGTAGACCAAACTTCCGTGCTACCGAACTCATCACCTGGAACAGAACCCTGCACAATAAGAGCATTACTAGGCGGGTTAGCAGCAGACTTCTTCTTTCTCAACTCATCTAGTCTTTTCTGCAACACAGCTTCCTCATCGTTCCCATCATCTTTCTCAGCCATTTTCTTGAGGACACAGTCCTTAGCATAATGATTTTTCCCACCACAGTAGAAACAGCTCACCCCAGAGTCTCCGTCAACCTTTGGTTCCTTCTTGTGCTCCTCAGCTTTCGGTTCATTAACCACCTTTTCAGAGCTGTAACTTCCCTGCCAGTTTCGGTTTTTGCTGCTGGGAAATTTCTTCTTTATGAACCTTTTGGGATTGGATACCATCAAGGCATAATCTTCTGATGTGAGATCATATTCTTCCAGGCTGAGGTCTTCATCCTCCATAATGGCTTTACTTTTTGACAAGAGAGCCAACGAACCAAGACCGGAAACAACATTCTTTTCTTGCACCACGGTTTTCTCTTGAGACTTGAGAATTCCCACCAGTTTCGCCAAAGAGTATGATTTAAATTGCTCATGGGCTTTAACCATGGAAACTACTGCTCTCCATTCAGACCTTAGACCATTCAGGAATGTAACCTTCTGTTCGATGAGCTTCCTTTCGATATCATGTTTGATCATCTTGCTTAGAAGATGATTGAAGCGATCGAACGTCTGGATCACAGATTCTTCAGCCCCTTGTCTGAATTCACCAAACTCAGATAGAAGCAGAGTTTGAATATAATGTTCAAGATCTTCGTCTGTAGAGTACAGTTCGCGAAGTCTGTCCCAAACATCCTTCGCCGTCGTGCATGAGCTAACCAATCTAAATGTATCGGACTGAAGGGCGAACCGGATCAATCTTAGTGCTTTGATATTGCATTGGAACTTATCCTTTTCATCTTGTGCAATGTCTTTCACGTCCTTGAGCAGATCATTGTATTCTTTTTGAGTTTTAATGATTCTGGATGTTGCAGAATGAGAAAACGGTTCGTTGGTGATGGCTTCCCAAATTAAATACCCATTTTCCTCCGATCCAATAACATAGTCTTCAAAATGATGTGCCCATACTTCATAATCATGGGTATATAAGATCGGAATCTTTGTCGTCGAACCAATGCTGTTGGAAATATTAATGACGTTTGATTGTGTTGCGTCCATTATGATCGAAAAACCTGTTCAAAGATCAGACTTGTAAAAAAGCAGATTAGGGCAAAATAATAATTATCAAGATACGTCAATAAAGAGATGACGGCTCAATAAATATTGATGTTTGCGGAAAAACCCTAATGAAAATCTTTTTCACAGAAAAGATGTGTATCAATTACACAGCCTCCTGCTCTGATACCAATTGATGAGATTAATGTTTCTTTTAATCTGTGAAGATCGATTAGATCTTGAACAAGTATATAAACAATGACGGTATAAACACAGTAAAATAATAGAACAAGATTGAATCAAACGTGTCGAATGATTAAAACAAAATCCTCAGAAGAGCTCGATTAAGAACATCAACTGTAGAGGATTGGAAGGTTACAAGTATGATCAAAGAAACCTTTAGTCGTCTGGAAAATATCGTATTCTCAGATCTCTAAAACCTTGACCTAATATGCATGCAAGCATAAGCTTATATACAAAGCATGAAAGACTCACGGTTGGACAGGCCCAAACCGTAATACAAAACATTATAAAAAGACGAGCCCAAAAGACGCAATCTTCTAAGCCCAATAGTTTCATTTAGTGCATAACACGTGGCAATGACCTGGCATATTTAATCTACTTGGTATTGAGGTGGAAAAAGAAAACGTCCTAGTCAGATGGGTATGACCGGTTGCACCCTTCAAATCTAGAAATGTGACCTTTTAAACCATAAAATGACAAGTATAAGCTCTTTAAAAGCAAAAAATAATCATGAGGGACCATTTAAACCAATATACGAAAGATAGTTGGGCCAGAGTAACAATATCCCTATAATAAATAAGATGTTATCTTTTTTAAATGTTTTTAAGATTTATATATATTTTTTATTGTTTAGAATAAAAAAATATGAAGTAGCTTAATAAATTAAATTATTGAATATAAAATAAAATAAAGTATAATATAATATATATATATATATATATATATATATATATATATATTGTTTATTGCAAAAAAAAATATTAAATATTACTTTCTATTGAGAAAGAAAAACAAAAAAAAAGCTTTTACAATAAAATGAGGAAAAAAAAGAAAGAAAAAATAAGTTTATATAATAAATTGAGAAAAAAAAAAGATAAGAAAAACCATACCACCGTTGAATGGGGATTAAACCCCTCATTCACTCAACTCACTCCACAATGCTTTGTATATCCATTCAACTGTCAAATAAGCTTTCTTTTCCTATTAATTGACCATTATAGATGACCTTAACAAGGATGGTATTTTGACAAAACTAAGGAATGGTTGGATTTTAAAGATACTATGGTTGAAACCATTTACTATATCACAACCACCATCAATCAAATCAAATAAAATAAATATAAAAAATACAATAGTCGTCTATCCTAAGTCATCAATTTTTCTATTTTTTTTACACATTTAAATATTATTTTTATTTTCATGTTTGGTTTAGACTAAATAACTTTTATATCAGTGTTTAAATATAATTTTTGTTTTCAATAATTATTACATGTATTTTCTTTTCTATTTATTTACGTTATAATCTTTAAAAAAATATTTCTTATAATATTTTCTACCGTGGTTGTTGTATGTGTATGATGTTTTGTATCATGGTAATACTATTTTTTTCATTTTGCTATTTATTTATGTCATGACATAGTATTTGTATGATGTTTTGTATCATGGTGGTACTATTTTTTTATTTTGCTATTTATTCAATTATTATGATTCTGAACTTCTAACGCATTTTAATCTACTCGGAACTTCTAACGGATATAAGTTTCATTTAGTGCATAACACGTGGCAATGACCTGGCATATTTAATCTACCTGGCATTGAGGTGGAAAAAGAAAACGTCCTCGTCAGATGGGTGTGACCGGTTGCACCCTTCAAATATAGAAATGTGACCTTTTAAACCATAAAATGACAAGTATAAACTCTTTAAAAGCAAAAAATAGTCACGAGGGACCATTTAAACCAATATACGAAAGATAGTTTGGTCAGACTAACAATATCCCTATAATAAATAAGATGTTATTTTTTAAAATGTTTTTAAGATTTATATATATTTTTTATTGTTTAGAATAAAAAAATATGAAGTAGCTTAATAAATTAAATTATTGAATATAAAATAAAATAAAGTATTATATATATATATATATATATATATATTGTTTATTGCAAACAAAAAATATTAAATATTACTTTCTATTGAGAAAGAAAAACAAAAAAAAAGTTTTTACAATAAAATGAGAAAAAGAAAAAAAAATAAGTTTATATAATAAATTGAGAAAAAAAAAAGATAAAAAAAATCATACCACTGTTGAATGGGGATTAAACCCCTCATTCACTCAACTCACTCACAATGCTTTGTATATCCATTCAACTGTCAAATAAGCTTTCTTTTCCCATTAATTGACCATTATAGATGACCTTAACAAGGATGGTATTTTGACAAAACTAAGGAATGATTGGATTTTAAAGATACTATGGTTGAAACCATTTACTATATCACAACCACCATCAATCAAATCAAATAAAATAAATATAAAAATACAATAGTCGTCTATCCTAAGTCGTCAACTCTTCTATTTTTTTTTACACATTTAAATATTATTTTTATTTTCATGTTTGGTTTAGACTAAATAACTTTTATATCAGTGTTTATATATAATTTTTGTTTTCAATAATTATTACATGTATTTTCTTTTCTATTTATTTACGTTATAATCTTTAAAAAAATATTTCTTATAATATTTTCTACCGTGGTTGTTGTATGTGTATGATGTTTTGTATCATGGTAATACTATTTTTTTATTTTGCTATTTAGTTATCTCATGGCATGGTATTTGTATGATGTTTTGTATCATGGTGGTACTATTCTTTTATTTTGCTATTTATTTATGTTTCAAGAGTTTTCAAATTATATTTTTTGAAATGTTTATTCAATTATTATGATTCAGAACTTCTAACGCATTTTAAATTTTTGATAAAAAAAATTCATTTTCATTTATTAACTTAGATAGAAACTGAAATATATTTGTGCTATTGGCATAGTTATATGTCAGCACTCAATAACTCAATAAGTGAAAATTATGAGTAGATTAAAATGTTTGTCAAAAGTCACCAAGTGTACCGGTTATTTTTTTTTAAGAAAATTTCAAAAATGGTTCTTATGGTTTTCAGAAATATCAAGTTTAGTTTCTAAGTTCAAAAAACCTCACAGATGGTCCCTGTGGTTTCAAAACTTTTAATAAATGGTCCTTCCGGCTCACTCCATTAGCATTTCACCGTTAACTCGTTTTTTAATAAAATATTGCAGGGGTAATTTCGTCATTTCAGTTGTAACCTTCTCTCTTTAAAAGAAATTGCATGTCCGATTTTTGGGCAAATCCTTTAGCTTCATCAGTCGATCATCTCTCCTCCTTTCCACTGTTGCTCGACCGTTGCACCCTTCATGACATCCAATCGCTTCTGATTCAAAGATGGTGACTTGCAGATGTGGGAATGAAGCAACGAAGATCACTTCATGGACGGATCGTAACCCTGGAAGATATTTTTGGAACTGTAGAAGATGTGGTTTCATTCGATGGTCAGATCCTCCTATGTGTGGTAGGGCTTTGGTGGTGATTCCAGGTTTGATAAGATCAAAGAATCGATTGGAAGAGAGGGTCGCCATTGTAACTGCAAAATTGTGGAACTACCAACTAATGTTGTTTTGTTCATGGGTGCTTTTTTTTTGTTATTATTTTAATCTCTAAGTATCTTGTGAAGGTTTGGATGGTAATGGAGTTTTGGTTTTTGGTTTGTAACCATTGCAGGGTTTTTTTTATTTTAATCGAAGAGGGTTTTTTTGCTTTCAGTTTATGTAGGTGGTTTTGGAATTGGTGTTGTTGTATTTGGTTTATGTATCAGATTAATGTGTAATGCAGTGGTAATGGTAATGGTAATGGAATGTAGTTTGTTATAGTTCATTGTTCAATTTCTTGAATGTTTTTGAAATGCAATTCTTAAATGTATTGTAAATGCATCTTGAAGATGGTTTTCATTTGCAATTGAAATGTACAATGTTATTAATTGATCTGTGAAGGGTAGTACACAAAACATATTAATTCATTACCAAAAAGTGCATACACACCATTACATTCAAAGTTATAAAGTTCTTAACACAACCATGATGCAAAGTTTTCAAAAGACCTACAACACAAGCATTACATGCAAAGTTTTCAAGTTCTTAACACATCTTCAAACAAGTACACATGACATAAGTTTCTAAATACCTACAACACCAGCATCCTAATAACCACTAAGTTTCAGCCTCCTCCAACTTCACTACTGCCTCCCTGCCCTTTACATGTTCCGGAATTGTGCCCTTTGTTATGACACTTTGAACAAGTGATTGCCAAATATTTCCTGCTCAATCTACTAGCTTGGCTGTTTGGCTCATCAACACCCCTCCTTCTCTTCTTATTAGGCCTTCCAACCTACACATGTTGATATACTATAGTTAAGATTGAATTCATTTCATGTTCACATGTATACTATATTTTTGGTGTACTTTAAATACAAACCTATGTCTTATGTTTTGGTGGAAGTAAAGTGAATGGGCAGTCACTTTTAGGCCACATTGTACGTCCATTCAATGGATCAATTTTGTTGAAATACATGGCTTTCCATGTTGATAACCTATAGCAAGAATGGACCCATTCATCAACATTTGGGGCATTTTCACCATTTTCAATTTTGTCCCATATAGCACAAACAGCATATCCACATGGGAAAGCTGTAATCTCCCAAAACCTACAACTATAACTTTGATCATTCAAGTTTACCACATATTGTTCTTGCCATGTGCTTGCCACTTGGTACTTCCCTGCCCCATTGTATTTAGCCACATACTTTGATGCATCAGCCTTAATCTTTTCAAACAGTGTAGTTGCAGTACGGGTTAGAAGTCCTTCACACTTATCTATTTCCTTTTGCACCACACGTAACCTCTTCATGAGATACTCTCTAATATACTCTAAGCAAGTGATAATAGGTTTATCCCTACCTTCATCTAGCTTAGAATTGAATACCTCACAAAGGTTATTCAACAAACAATTAGTATGTGCCCTTCCTGAATAATAGATATTAACAGAAGACAATTACACATATAGTAAACACACAACAGGGAAGGTTAACATCTCTCTAGAAATTTCTAGAAACTTATCACTAAAGTGAGATTTAGCACAAGTGTTTGTTGGGATCTTAGACACCCAAGCATGAGCCTCTACATTGATCTTCTTCAACTCATCCATTGCTATGTTAAAATGATTGACTGTTGTTGCTCTACCACACTCCCAAAGCTGGTCACTTAAGTCTTTTCCTTTCCATTGTTTCTTCATGTTTTATTGAATATGCCTCAAACAGAACTTGTGTTCTGCACTAGGGAGTACCTTCTCCATTGCTGGTATTATTCCCTAAACAAAAGTCAATGTATGCAACATTAGTAAAAAAAAATGTATTTAGAAAAGGTAATAAAAAAAGTTAGGTGGTACACACCTTTTGTCTATCTGAAATGAAGGTGAAGTTTGAATTTGGTCCCAGATCCAGATCTTCTCCTAACAGTTCCAAGAACCAGGTCCAACTACTTGTTGATTCTGCCTCTACCACTGCATATGCTACATAGTATATGACATTGTTTGATTCCATCCCTACAGCAGTTAACACTTGCCCAGGGTAAGGTCCCTTCCAGACCTAGAAAATCTCCTAATCTAGATTTCTGGATCCTAACTTTAATGCACCTAAACAAACATATATTCTTCTAAAAGTTCTTGTGGTAACAGACAGTGAGGTTTTTGGATACACATCAATCCGAACTATTGTACCAGGATTAGTGTTGAGTATCTCCAACACATAATCCCTCAAAAATCCATACTGTACTTGGTAGTCCCCACTAATGATACACTCAGCCATTGACTTTGCCCTAGCAACCTTTTGCAATGACATTCCTACCTCTAGTTTCTTGCACAACTCTTCGTGTAAAGCTTTCACTGGAGTTTTAGGATTACTCTGTATTTGTTGAACAATTAAGTTTGCTACGTATCTGGAAGTGCAAGCTTTAACCGCCCTTGTTTGCAAACATTTATGCTCATCCTGTACTGTTTTCACCAACCAATCCTGATTTTCATTAGCCCTCGATATTTGGACTGCCCATGGACATGTACCTTTATTGGCAATTACATCTTTACCCTTGCACTTTGCCCTACTTCTAGTTGAGGGCCCACCACCATCAACTCATGTAGAAGGCTTACTTACAACACCTTTACATTTCACCCTAATTCGGATTTTGTCATTTTTGGCTAGGTATAAAGACCTCCTTGTTGCTACAGCATGTGAGTTCATGTAGTTTTTAACATCAAGCTTGGTTTTGAAGACCTGGCCAATCTGAAATGGTTTAACATGAACCTCTCCATGTGAGCATGTACTTGACTTACTCAACTCTTTTAGCAGTCTCTTCCTATCATCTTCATGAAATCCTGCAAATTGATAATCATCAGTGGCAATAACTTCCAACTCATCATCAGCCATGTCAATCCCTTCATCTTTTGAATGATTGTTCAAGATTCCATGTTCATCTACATCAACAACATTATGGAATTCACTCATGTCTACATCTACATCAAATTGTATGTTAGACTCATCCACATTGTATTCACTATCATCATAATCATCTCCACTATCCTCAGAACCATGGCCACTCTTAGAGTAGAAAGCTTCTCCACTATCATCACTCACCATACCCTCTAGATAATCCACTTCTGGTCGGTTTTCAAATGAAGTTTCAACATTAAACTCGACATCATAATCAGCATAAAGTGAGTAATCCTCTATAAATGGTTCATAATCATCAACTGTTGTAGTATTAGCTCCATCATCAACTTGGCAGCTTGGTTCCTGTACATGGTAACTTCCGAATGGTTCTTCAGTTTCAACTGCACTAGTGATCACTTCTTCTTGAGTTTCAATTTCATGATTCACCACTTCCTTTTGAATTACATGACTTTGTTTGCCTTGTGACCTTATAAATGGTACAATACTCTTTGAGTAATCATGGCCTTCATCAACATCTAACACTTGTGACTGCTCATAATCAGGGTTCATAGACTTGTTTAGATCAAGCTTTCTACTACATGATCCTGCTTCTCTCCTACAAGATTTCTTTCTATTCATTTCAGGTGACACACTATTAGGCTCCAACTCTTCAATAACAACTTTAGAATGAGACTTGTAATAAGTAGCTACCCTTGTCTGACCAGTTTCAATATACACCCTAATAAGTCTGTGTTTAGGGACATATGATACCATTTTAAGTACATCTTGATCATTACCTAAAGGCATTAAGCCATAGTCCAAAGGGTATTCAGGGATACAGAAATGGTATTAAAGGGTTTGCTCAGTTTTGTACCCTAGTTCTCGAACCATGTCGTCAAGCTCATGAACTGAAAATAAATCAGTGTCAACATCATCTACATATGCTACAACACCATCAACGTATTTCCTTCCAGATGCTTTGGTGAAGACACCACTGTAGTGTATCTTCAACGTGAAATAGATGTCATAACCTTCTGTAAATACACAAAAAAAAATAAGGAAAAAAATCAACGATTTCCTTACGTCAACACAATAGACCAAGAAAAAACAAGTTTTGTTGTAGTATTGTACCGTATCTTTTTCCTAAGTCCTCCACGGTTACAAATTTTTCTCGAAAACACCATATTGATAGCACCATTGCAATTTCTGCAGCTTAAAACCCTAAATCCCAATTTCTGTTCTTGCTTCTACGATGGGAATGAACCCGATGACTAAACTTGTAACTAGTTATCTTCTTGGGAGAGGAACGGGTAGTGATGTGCAAGAAAGTAATCATTTCATATTAAAGAGAGAAGGTTACAACTGAAATGACGAAATTACCCCTACAATATTTTATTAAAAAATGAGTTAACGGTGAAATGCTAACGGAGTGAGCCGGAAGGACCATTTGTTAAAAGTTTTGAAACTACAGGGACCATCTGTGAGGTTTTTTGAACTTAGGGACTAAACTTGATATTTCTGAAAACCACAGGGACCATTTTTGAAGTTTTGTCTTTTTTTTTTTTTATGAATATGGTCCATGTGGTTTCCATGTTTACCGTTTTGCAGGGGTTGAGTTTGTGATTATGGGTAAACCAAAGAGACAATTTATGTACTTTTTTCTATATTTTATGTTTATGAGTTCTGCGTTTTCCACCATTTTACTTTTTAAAATAACATTTAACTTTGAAAAATGTTACTTTGACTTCTCATTTTTTAAATTTTTATGTTTAACCTCATATTATATATAATTTGATTTTTATTAATAACTTTCGTTTGTTAACATAAAAAACTATTTTTATGTGTTTAATTTTATATATTTGTTGGTATAATTTAAAGTGATCAAGGTCTCAACTTTAATATAGAACTTTATTCCGTTATTTTTTAAAAGTTATATGATTTTTTTTAATAAAATGTTCGGTTTAAATTCGAGCTTGTCTATGTTTTGACGTAGTTTTTTTAAATGTTTTCGTGCTTAATTTTATATGCGTTTCATATGTATGATTTGGATCACATATTATACGTTTTTTATTATTTAAGCTTTCGTTCGTTAACTTAAGAAAA